TCTTGGACAACACCTCGTTGCCCAGCAGGGTCCGGCAGTAGACGGGGCTGTCACCCTCTTCGGCGTCCCCTTCCAGGGAACCTGCACACGGCCCGCTGCAGAGGTTGCCTCTCAAGACTACAATTCAGGGAGCAACACAGCCCCCGGATCTTCAGTCTGGGCTATTCCCGGTTCGCTCGCCGCTACCAAGGCAGGCCGAGGACAGCCGCCGCCAACCGACATCCCGCCCCTGACCCTCCTGCAGGGTTGTCCATGCCCGGACCAACCGCCATCCCGACCAGAAGTCGAGAGCGTGGCTGGGCCGAAGTAACAACCTGCGGAGGCGAGACGGGATGAAGGGGGAGCACCGCCACAAGGCCCCGAACACTGCCCACTTCCCCCACCCTCGACCTACACCATGCGCCCCTCTGCGCCGGGCCAGCCGCCAGCTGGGCTATAAGCCCAAGATGGTGCTGAAACGGAAGAGAAAAGCGGATGCAGGGAGGATGGGGGCAAAGGGCGGCGGAAGGGCAAGCAAGCCAGCATTCCACACCCCGAAGATCGGCTATTCACGTGTCAATGATCCTCCCGCAGGTTCACCTACGGAAACCTTGTTACGACTTCTCCTTCCTCTAAATGATAAGGTTCAATGAACTTCTCACAGCACCCCCAGCGGCAAACCGCCGAGATCACCGCAATCCAGACACTTCACCGGACCATTCAATCGGTAGGAGCGACGGGCGGTGTGTACAAAGGGCAGGGACGTAATCAGYGCGAGCTGATGACTCGCGCTTACTAGGCATTCCTCGTTCAAGWTCGATAATTACAACAATCTACCCCCGTTACAATGAACCTTAAGAAGGTTACCCGGGCCTTTCGACCAAGACAAGCGACTCATTGGATTCATCAGTGTAGCGCGCGTGCGGACCAGAACATCTAAGGGCATCACAGACCTGTTATTGCCTCAAACTTCCGTTGGCTAGTCGTCCAACARTCCCTCTAAGAAGCTGGCCACGAGGAAAGGTACCCGCGTAGTTATTTAGCAGGCTGAGGTCTCGTTCGTTAACGRAATTAACCAGACAAATCACTCCACCAACTAAGACCGGCCATGCACCACCACCAATTGAATCAAGAAAGAGCTCTCAATCTGTCAATCTTTGCTATGTCTGGACCTGGTGAGTTTCCCCGTGTTGAGTCAAATTAAGCCGCAGGCTCCACGCCTGGTGGTGCCCTTCCGTSAATTCCTTTAAGTTTCAGCCTTGCGACCATACTCCCCCCGGAACCCGTAAACTTTGATTTCTCACAAGGTGCTGGCAGAGTCATCCAATAGACAT